TTTTAGTTATTGTTGGGAGGGGGTGTTTACTTGCCATGCCTGTAACTGGGCCCCGCAGGTTTCGCAATTCTGAAGCTGCAGTCTCATCGTTCGATATCCGTTCGGTGGGGAATCGCAAGTCATGACCCGTCCCCGAGTTTGAGCAGCTTCCGCCTCCTTTTGCCGGCAAGAGTGGGCCTTGACCACTGTACCTCGTCTGTTTCGCCATGGGAATGGCCTGTTGAACAGCGAAAGAGGGTCCTGCGTGCTGCGCGCCACAAACTTTTCTTTGCTTTTGTTTGCGTTTGTTCAGTCTGTGGAATTCTTCCTGAGTGACCGTTATACACAAACATGCGGCTGCTGCTGCACGCATACATGCGGTTGCCGCAGAATATGCTTGGAATGTGCTGCAAAGGTCGTAAGGGTATTGTCTCTGTCGTTCCGGGGTGCACGCGTTGCTCGCGTCCCCTCGTTATCCATGAAGAACAACGGCAGCAGCACAGTTGAAGAGACAAACAACAACAGACGGTCCGCCTTACTTTTTTTTTGTTTTTGCTGCATGCATGGGTGGTATGCATCGGTAAGCGTGATGCTGCCTTGCCTTGAGTCTGCTGCGTAGTCGTAATTTGAGCGATAAGTAAGGTAGATGGCAGCACAACCATATTTACGTAGTGAGGTATGTATGGTAACCAACAGTCGGCTCGTTCGTGCAGCGGTGCGCATCTATCGCGGTTGGCAAGCAAGCGTATTGAGATAATAGTTCGTCCGTGGTGCTATTCATGTAGTCATGTGCTTTTTACAGTAGTTATCATTTCCCACCACAAAGATGGTCCACAGTTCGCAAACGGCGACTGTATTTGTTTGTTGTGTTTGTTGTTGCTGAGCCCACATCAGATATCGCCGTTCGATGCACATCATATCTGACAGCCTGCTGTGGACCCGAGGGACGAGAGTGAATGCCTTTTCGAGAGTGAATGCCTTGTCTTCTCTCCGCTCTCTTCTTGTAGTCTACCTCTCTCTCTCTCTCTCTCTCTCTCTCTCTCTCTCTCTCTCTCTCTCGCCTTTCGACGGTGGGGTCCCAATAACATCGAATTGAATGTTAACCGCAGTTGTTTTGCTTCTTGCTGAGAAAGAGGCTACCCGTGCATCCGGCTGCTGCAAGTTAAGCGATGGGCGCTGCCACTTTGCGTCAAGCAATGGACTTGGGCCCTACCGTAAGGTTGCAAGTCAGCTAGAGCACAGGGGTGCGATCGATTTTCAAAGCGTACTTATTCCACAACCAGGAGGTTGCGAGCGCCAACTGATACTTCTCAGGAAAGCTCTCGATGAGATACTTCCAAAACCGCTCTTCTCGACAGTAGTAACGTCGTGGTTGTAGAGAAACTACGCTCGGAAAATCGTTCGCACCCACCCCTTGCGGGTGAAAGCGAAATATAGCTAAAAAGCTCTTGTGAGTACCAAACTTCGACGTTAGCACCGTTGACGAGGGAAAGGGGCAGACGGCTGGACCCTTCTCGCGATAAAAATAAAATTCCGCACGCACCGGAGGAGGAAAGTGGGGCATGAAAATAAATAAAAAGAGGAAAAAAGCCCTGGTGTTTACCCCCTCCTGTGTGACCCTGGATGGTTGTAGTTGTGCGAAAAAATACACTGAAAAGTGTAGTACTCTACATACGCTGAAAAGTGTAGTACACGTCTCACCACGAAAAATGGGGGGACTGTCGCCATAATAAATAGGACGAAAACACACACACACACACACACCCCTGTGCGCTGACTCGCAACCTTACGGTACTTAATGTTTACTGCATATATATGCAGTGCCATGCGAGAGCTTCCAGCGGTTCAGAGCGAGCGGCGACGGTGGTTTTTCTGTGCTCTCTTTTACCTCCTCCCTGAAGCTTGTCGCGGCTGGCCATTTTGTTCTCGCTTCTTTTTTCTTTTTTTTCATGCTTTGTTTTTTGGGGTTCCGCGGTTCCTGTTTGTTGTGTGTGCTCATCGGGCGTGTACTTGGTGTCTACCTTGATTGTTACCCGCTGAAGAAATCGAAAGCCTCAGACAGGCAACGCGACGATGCTCGTCGAGTTGACATGCACAACCACATTTTACGCGCGGAGCGCACACATCGGAAAGATTTTTTCTCCGGGCTTTCTGTGACGATCTTGCCTCTTATAGGAGAATGTCGATATCACGCCATGCAACGGCAACCGGCGGGGTTCTGAACGACAGCAGTAGGGGACACACATCAGACGAACTCCACAACGCTAGAGTAGGATGCAATGAGCACGACGAGGAAAGGCGGCCGCGCGCGTGCGGGAGAGCGAGAGAGCAGTGCAACAGCATCGCCGTGCTTCGTGTTGCGCAAGGTTTTTCCATTTGTAGCATGTTTTGCGGACATGGGTTACGTACAGAAATAATGATATTTAGTGAAACCAGCAGTCTTGTAGCCGCCTTGGACAGCGCCTTTGCGGACTTGAGGCTTTGCGGACTTGTACAAACATGATGCATGTAGTACAACAACATGAAATTCTTCACAGTAGTTTACAGTGTTCTGAAACATTCCGCAACAACTCGGGGGAAATTAAAATGCATCACCAGGTGTGAGTGCGTCGACACGCAGAGGCGGAGTCTTTGTTGCCGTGATGTAGCGCAATAAGCATTGTTTTCCTCCTGCAGCAGTATGCTACGCATTCCAATTTGTGATTGATCCACTTGTCCGAAAACCCAACATAGATCCATCCTTGAACTTCTTTTGTTCGCCAACTTGGTGGAGCCTGAGTTCCTCAACAGCTCTGTAGTCTACTCTCAGCTCTGTACATCGACTATGGAACGTCGATGGGTTTGCTGGTTGTGGATTTTCACGCTTTCAAACCTCTGTGCCGCGCGCGTTGTGTGTTACTTGTACTCTGGATGACTGTGTGCCTCCGTCTGCGGTGTACTTGCCTTCACTTTTCGCTTTCGTCGCGAGAACGAATACAGCCGTCGTTACGCTACCGTAGACGACACAAAACAACACACCCTCATACACCCACATAAGAAAACACCCCCCCCACAGAATGCGACACCCCGGTCATTATTTTGGGCGTTTCTGTGACAAGCCACCGATACATCACGCGGGCTACATGAGATAACACACTGAGGTTACGCCGCATACCCCCTCCTTTCCCCCCCCCCCCCCCC